TCCAGTGACCATTTTAGGCAATTTCATCAGGGGTAAGATAGAAAACCAGATTTCAGGGTGATAGTAGATATTGAGGAAGCAGAGGTGGGCATCAGTATAGATATTTGTATGGGCAAAGGTAATCTTGAAGAAATAGCACTCTGGGAAAGACTGGTTTTATGTAGAAGAGAACCTGAAAAATTGAGGACCCCATGGAGGGTTGGGGGTTGCAGGTTTAAGATGAAGGAAGGAAAGGAGTGGATACATGATACAGCCAGATCACTTTATTTGGAGTGGCAAGATGCTCTTTACTCTCCTATATCCTTCTGTCAAGATGTTAAGCCAGGGCTGGAGAGATGGCTCAGTGGTTAAGAGCACTTCCTGCTCTTGCAGAGGACCTATATAAGCAAAATATTTTAAAATATTTTTTAAAAAGATGTTAAGCCAGAGCCCGGCATGGTGGTGCATCCCTTTAATTCCAGCACTCTGCAGGCAGAGGCAGGGGAATCTCTATGAGATTAAGGGCAGCCTGGTCTATAGAGCAAGGGCGCTACAGGGAGACCCTTTCTCAAAACCAAACAGAAATAAGAAACAATATTAAGCCAGATCACTTGGTATTTTAACTCCTTACTCTTACTGTATTCTTCTAGAAAGTGTTAAACTTGAAAAATTGAAACATAAATGAGATTTCCCCTCTACATCACAAAAGTGAATCTGTCTGTTACATCTATGCTAAATGTCTCAAAACTTTGTACAGTACCTTGCCAAGCTCAGAGAGTATTTAAGCTTTTTTTTTTTAATCTATTTTGTAAATTAGGCGTTTGCAAGGGTTTTTCAGCTTGCTTTTTGTTCATTGAATCATTGAATGTGTCCTGGTTAGTTCTTTGTTTCACTACAGGTAGGTCCATTTCATTGTTTTTGACCTCTGTGTACTATTATATAATAATGCTTTTAGTATATGTACCAGCTCTCTGATTTTGCCTGTTTGCGTTTTTTTTAAGGCATTATAAACTGTCATTATTGAGCATCTTTTATACATGGCCTTGAAGGACCTCCTCATTTCTCTTCCTCTTCTTAGCTACCTTTGTGTTTGTCTTATTGGAGCTGTCCTATTTCCTCCAGAACATTTTCTGCTCTCTGTTGCTGTGTGCTCTGTGAGCTCAGGACTCCCCCACTTTTGGTTTCCCAGTGGTTGCCTCGGGTGCCCTTTCATAGCCTGAAAGTTGTTCATAGAGGCCTTGAATTATACCTTTGTATAATCCACTCTATAGGGTATGTTGGGATTAAACATATTTCTCAGGGCTAAAGAAATAAGGAGCACTTACTGCTTTTGCAGAGGACCCAGGTTTGGTTCTCAGCACCCATATGGCAGCTAACAGCTGTCCGTAACTCCAGTTCTAGAGGATCCAATGCCCTCTTCTGTGCTCCCCAGGTACTATATGACATGGGTGCACTTACATGTAGGCATAACACTCATACACATAAAAATAAATAAAAAATTTTTTAAATTATCTATTTACTTTCCTTTTACTTTTAAGGACTTCCTATATAAAACATTCATCATTAGCTGTGCTAAGCATTTAAAAACATTTTTAAAATCCAAATTAGTGGTGCTAGAGAAATGGCTCAGTGGTTAAGAGCACTGATTGCTCTTACAGCGGACCTGAGTTCAGTTCCCAGCACCCACATGGTGGCTAACAATGATCTGTAACTCCAGCTCCAAGGGATCCGATGCCTTCTGACCTCCTTGGGCCTTGCACAACGGGTACACTTGCACACATGCACGCAATACACTCATACACATAAAATAATAAATTTATGTATATATATGTATATTTGAGACAGGATCTGGAATTCACTGTGTAGACCAGGCTGGCCTTGAACTCACAGAGCTCCACCTCCCTCTGCCTCCCAAGTGCTGGGACTAAAGACATGCACCACCATGCCCAGCCTATAAAATATATTTTTTAAAAAGATCCAAATTAGTATAGCTTAACTTCAGCCACTGTTTGAGGGTAAAAGGGAAATAGACACAATAAAAAATGTGTAATATATTGACATTTATTTAATTTGCTTATCCCCTGACATAGCTCTCCTTTGTTCTAGTTCCCAAGACTGAAGGAAAACCAAATACAGGTGATTCTGGGGTATAGTCTGGATTAACAACCTCTGAGTTAGAAGCTGTGCGGAAAGAATTCCCTTATTTTATAAGCATTTACATAGAAACATGAGTGCTTAGACTAGCTAGTTCACTAGTGACATTCTTTGGAAAGGAAAACCTAGCTGGGGTTTGATCTGTAGATTAGGATAGGGAAATGCACTTAGCTCTCAGGTAGTAGACTGTCCCTCTACTGTAGTTTTGTGTCTGTTTCCTGGGGATGTTGTAACAAATTGCCACAAACTGAGTGGGTTTTTAAAATATTACTTACTGTGTGTGTGTATGATATAGGTATGCACCTGTGGAGGTCAGATTCTCTCCTACCCTCACATGGGTTCCAGGGATTGAATTCAGGTCACTTGTCTTGCATAGCACATGCAGTACCCCCAAGCCATCTCATCATAGCCCAGGTGCTTTTTAAAACAGAAATTTACATCCTTTTACTGTTCAGGAGACTAAAAGTTCAAAAGCACAAGTGTTGGTGGAACCTCTCTTTGGACTCCAGGGGAGGATCTTCCCTACTGTCCTCGATTCTGGTGGTTGTCAGTGGCATTCCCTCACTTGGTGCTTGGCTTCAATCCACTTCTGTCCTAACACAACCTTCCCATTCTGTGTCTGTGTCCAAATTTCCTTCATCTTTTAAAGACACCCATTTTTTGGATTAGGACCCCCACTACAGCAGTAGAACTTCATTTTAGCTTGAAAACATCTGCAAGGACTATATTTCCAAATAAAGGCATGTTCATAGATATCGGGGATTCAGCATAATAGGAGAGGAATAAGAATATGAAATTGCAAAAACTCTCATTGATGGAATGTAGACATCAGCATCCATGTTCCACAGTGAAAGAGTAATTAAAATATGAAGGCCTAGAAAACACTTTGATTTTTAAGTTGTTGCCCCCCACAAAACTTTATCCTCTTTGGATATCAGTATAAATTGCTTGTAAAGTATATAAAACAGGTTTATAATCTATAACTTCTCTGTTTCATATTTTAATTTTTCTTTTATGTGTATGAGTGCTTTGCCTACATGTATGTAAGTGTACCGTGTGCATGCAATACCCATGGAAACCAGAAGAGGTCATCTGATCCCTTGGAATTGGAGTTACTGACAGTTAGCCACCATGTGAGTGCTAGGAGCTGAACCTGAGTCCTCTGGGAGAGCAGCAAATGCCCTTAACCACTGAACCATTTCTCTAGCTCCTTCTCTGTAGTTTTCATTGTTGTTGTTGTTAAGTTTAAATTATATTGACCTCTCAGTTTTCTTTAAAAAGTTAAATTTAGGCCAGGTGTGGTGGCACATACCTTTAATCCTGGCACTTGGGAGGCAGAGGCAGGCAGATCTCTGTGAGTTCAAGGCCAGCCTGGTCTACATAGTGAGTTCCAGGCCAGCTGGGGCTACAGGGAGACCCTGTCTCAAAAACATCAAAGAAAAAAAAAAAAAAAAAAAAAAGTTAAATTTGGGTCTAGAGAGAAGGCTCAGTGGTTAAGAACACTAGTTGTTCTTGCAGAAGACCTGGGTTTGAATCCCAGCACCCACATGGCAGCTGACAACTGTCCATAACTCCAGTCCCAGGGGATCCAACAGCCTCTTCTGACCTCCGGCGGGCATTGCACAGTATGGGTGCACTTACCTACATGCAGGCAGTACACACATACACATAAAATAAAACTAGTAAATAAAATTTAAAAATTAAAAAACAATACTTAAAAAAAGTTTAAGTTTACACCTCTAAATTTGATGTGGTTTATACAGATCATGCTAGAGTACAAAATTATTTTCATTAATACATACTAAATTCCTAGGAAGGGGCTGGAGGGATGACTCGGGTTAAGAGCACTTGCTGTTCTTCCAGAGGATCTGGGTTCAATTCCCAGTACCCACATGACAACTCTGTCCTCCTTCTCCAGCCTTTGCAGGCACTACACACATACAGTATACATACCAGCAATCAAAACAGGTGTACAAATAAAAATAATCATTTTTTAAAAAATTCTTAGAGGAGACTGAGACACTTTTCAAAGCGATTCAAGACACAAAGTATACATTCTGTCCTTTGCCCTCTGTAATTTTTTGTCACATTTTTCAGTAGTGGCCCAGCTGTGCTGTTCCTTAGATTTGCCTGTGGCTGCAGTCTTGACAGTCTGGAAGAGGGCTCAGGAATCTGTACTTTGAATAGTGTCTGGTGGCTTTTATGCCTGGGCACATTTGAGATCTACCTTATTGATCATCAGAATCATTGAAAGCTACTAGTGCCTGGGTTCACCATTAACTGTACTAAGCATTTTAAATCATTTTTGATAAAGTGTAAAAAGTAAGGGATTTAGAATTAGTATTTAAATCTTGTCTTTTCACTTTTGACTCTTAGCAACTTGGACAAAAGGAATAAAGTTCTTTGGTGTCTTTTGAAGAGAGACTGTTTACAAAGTAGTTGTATAGTTTTAAACTATAAATTCCTTATCCGATTATAGTCATGGATACTGATGAAAATTTTCCACCATACTAACTGGAGGTCATATCCACCATACTTATTTTGTGGGTTAAGTAATATTTGGGTAATATGAAAGACTTGGATATATTTATGTATCAAATGAATATCTTCACAAGATAGGAGCTTTGATTTCTTTCTCTTTTTTTTTTTCTCGTCTTTTTGAAGCAGGGTCTCCCTGTAGCCCCAGCTGTCCTGGAACTCACTGTGTATACCAGGCTGGCCTTGAACTCACAGAGATCCGCCTGCCTCTGCCTTCCAAGTGCTGGGGCTATAGGCGTGCGCCCCCATGCCCAGCTAGGAGCTTTGATTTCTTCCTTACTTATTAAGCACTCTGTCTCCTGTATTAACTGCTCTTCATTTTCTTGAAGGTCAGATAATCATGGACCTGCAGCAGTTTCTTATGTGCCTGTCCCTGTGCACAGCCTTTGCCTTGAGCAAGCCAACAGAAAAGAAGGATCGTGTACACCATGAACCTCAGCTCAGCGACAAAGTTCACAATGATGCTCAGAGTTTTGACTATGACCATGATGCTTTCTTGGGTGCAGAAGAGGCAAAGAGCTTTGATCAGCTGACACCAGAAGAGAGCAAGGAAAGGCTTGGGTAAGATGCCTGCTCTTGGGAGGGCTAGGTAGAATAACACCATTCTTTATAAATCAACTAATTCTTTTTTTCTTTCCTAGTTCAGTCACCAATAAAGTTGTTCTGAACTCTTCTGAATGCTAACAACAGAATTGCTACTACTAAAATTTAATTAAGTGCCTACTTCATACATTTTTCTACTGAATAACCTTTTGTACCTTATTCTAGAAAACAGTCGTTTTTGTGTAAAAGTGCCCATTAGGGCTGGAGAGATGGCTCAGTAGTTAAGCATACTACTTATAGAGGACTAGAGTTCAGTTCCCAGCACCCACCCATAATTGGCAGCTCATATTACCTATAACTCCAGCTCCAAGGAATCTGATGCCCTCTTTTGGACTCTGCATGCACCTGCATTCACATGTATATACACACACACATTCACATATAATGAAAAGATAATCGAAGCCAGGGCTGGTGGTGTTTGCCTTTAATCCCAGCACTCAAGAGGCAGAGGCAGGTGGATCTTTGTGTTTCAGGCCAACTGATCTAGGGGCTATATAACGAGACCATGTCCTTTTTTTTTTCTTTTTTTTGTTAAGGTACGCAGTAATACTGAACCTAGCTTGAATTGCTGAGCTGTGTCTTGATTTTAGAGCATTACATGGGTTTTCTTAGCTCTGCTGCTTTTAATTTTGAAAAACTTTCTATAACTTATTCATTGTTGCCTAAGCTAAGGAATCTTTAAGTAACTAGTAATAAACTACAAACTGGGCCCATATTTCTGTAAAATTTATGGCTTCTCCAGGGTCCTTTAGTGGAAGCCAAACCAACCTTACCCATTAACAGGGTGCCCACCCTTTTGACATTGCATTATGATGTCGTCTTTAAAAAATCTTGGGTTGGAGATGTAACTTTGTAGAAGAGCACTTTTCTGCATGTTCAAGGCCCTGGGCTTGATCCCCAGCACCTCCAAAAACAAAATAGTAAGTAAAGACACAAATTACCGGACCAAATAGTGGTCTTATTTTCAGAATAAGAATAACTGTTTAGTAATGGCAGGTCCCTAGTCAAGTTTTATGGCTCTTAGCAGCTTTTTAATCTAAAGACTTCCCTAAGGGGGCTGGAGAGATGGCTCAGCTGTTAAGAACACTGACTGTTCTTGCACAAGGCCCCAGGTTCGAATCCTAGCACCCACATGGCAGCTAACAACTGTCCATAACTCCAGTTCCAGGGGATCTGACAGCCTCTTCTCTCCTCCACAGGCATTGTACTACATGGGTGCACTTACCTACATACAGGCAATACACGCATACACATAAAATAAAAATAATAAATAAAATTTAAAAAAAAAAAAGACCACTAAGAAGAATCCAAACTGGTGTCTCTGGAGTTCTGAAAATGCCTTTTGTGGCTTTTCCAAAGTCTTGGTTTTTAAGAAAATTCAAGTCAATTTTGTGAAAATTTTCTCCTGAAAGCGCAGCATTGGTGTCACTTTGGACTGTATTCAAGAGATTTGTGTGGCAGGTTGTACACACAGCAATTTTCAAAAATGTTTTGCCATCGTGGGCAATGCTGTAGTATAAATTTACTTGGACAATCTGCTGACTAAAGTGTACAGTGTTTTTCAGCATTGATAGAAGCTGTAAATGGTTTTGCCATATAGAATGAATTGCTCCTAGACATTTGAAAATACAAAAAATATACATCAAATGTCCAGCCTACATTTTGGTCTGAACATATATCTGCAGAACTACCTTCAATAATGAAAGACCCTTGGGTTTGGGGTCATGAAGCAAGACTCTCAGATGAAACCAGGCATGGTAGCACACACCTATGTGTGCTTGGGAAGGCTGAGGCAAGAGGATTGGTAGTTCAAGGCCAGCCTGGACTACATAATGAGACATTCTCCCTCTTTCCTCCCAGTCCCCAAGAAGAATCCCAGATGAATATTGTTTTAATCTTTATTTATGGCTTTACTAAGCATTCATATGGTAGCTAACTGTCCCCAGAGGTTGCAAACCAGAGTTCTCCTTTTTTCAGCATTGTATACAGCAATAATTGTTAAGGGAAAAATAGTTTTTAAATTGGCTTTTTTTTTTTTTTGGCTGTTTTGAGCCAGGGTCTCCCTGTAACATCAGCTGGCCTGGAACTCACAAGAGATCTGCCTGCCTCTGCTTCCAAAGTGCTGGGATTAAAGGTGTGTACCACCAAACCTAGCCTTTTAACAATTTTAGTATAATTTTCAGTACCTTTTCTTTACTAAAAAATGTTGACAAAAATTTTTTTTAAAGACAGGGTGTCCTTAGACCAGTAGATCGGGGTGGCTTCAAATTTGTGGTTATTCTCCTGCCCTTACTGAGATCGCAGGTGCATCTCCAGTGCTAGAATTTCAGGCATATGCTACTATGCCCAGCTCTTTTCCACCTTAGTTCTTTTATTTGGGAGGTTTTGTTATGTGGCATGTGACAGGATTGCACATGTCCCAGGCTAGCATTGGAATCAGTATATAGCCGAGGAGGACATTGAATTTCTGATCTTTGTGAGTATGAGGCCAGCCTGGTCTACATAATGAGTTCCAGGACAGCTGGCACTACAAGAAGACCCTGTCTCAAAATAGACAAAAAAAAAAAGAAGAGCCCATCTTGAACAGTCATATGCCTTTTTCTATCTGGACAGTCCTTCAAGCTATTTATAACAGTTTAAAAATATCTTCTGAGCTTAGAAGGGTTTTGATACTTTGCCCATTTTTTCCTCAATACTACAGTGGCACCATTGGTAGCAAGTACCATTTGAACATAAACTGGATCCCTTATAGCTAATGCAGAAGCTTTCTTAATCTGTTGATATTGTTAAAATCCTCTGAGAACAGTTTTGTCCTATGTCCATGTAGGTAGAGTATTTAGTGGATGACCTCTTTAGATATTATCTTTTCTGCTAGTATTTCAGAGATGAAGTTAGAAGATAACACATTCTCTGAGGGAAAGTGTTCGTTGTTTATAGAGTTAAGTAGCAATTACAGCTAATGCCATATCAGTGCCAGTATGAGGCTGTCCAGTTTTGCTAGCAAACTGAGAAAAGACATTTGCTACCAAGGTATATAAACAAGCATAGGGTGGGCTGGTTAGTCACTTCTTTGGAGGTTTTGATGTAAAGTTCCCATTTAAAAGTAGGCTGCTTATTTGTATGACTTTACATAGACTATCTGAGCCCTCTGTGTAGGTGATTACATCTTTAGGAATTTTTATGCCATGAGCATTTATTTATTTAGTGGTGCGAAAGATCAAACACAGGTCCTCACAAATGTTAGGCAAACACTCTACTGCTGAGCCATACCCACAGCCCATAAATTTATTTTTAAATCCTTTAATTAAAATGACATCTGGAAGAAAGAAGCTTATAAAGGAAGTAGATTGATTCTTTAGCTTATTTTGCTTTATAATCTACTTGTTGATAACCCTCTCAGCTTATTAACAGCCTCATAACCAAAAAGTTAATGTTTTTTTAGTTTATTTATATTTGATGTGTATGAGTATTTTGCCTGCATGTAAATGTACCATGTGTGTGCAGTGCTTGTAGAGACCAGAGGAGGGCTTTGGATTCCCTAGAATTGGAGTTATGGGCAGTTGTTAGCTGCCATGTGGGTACTGGGAACTGAACCTGGTCCTCTGGAAGAGCAGCCAATGCTCTTAACTCACTGAACTGTCTCTCCAGCCTCCTTACCATATCATTTCCTTAGCATTGTCTCTTTTCATGGCCATATATAAAAATCCAACTTGACATAGTACATAAAAGCTGCTGGCTTGTTAAGATAAGCACTCTCCTGTCTGCATTTTTTAAAAATATTTTATTATTTTTATTTTTTTAATGTACATGAGTGTATTGCCTGCATGTATATAAGTGTACCCATGTCGTGCAGTGCCCTCAGAGTTTGGAAGAGTGTGTTGGATCCCCTGGAACTAGAGTTATGGATGGTTGTTAGCCACTATGTGAACACTGATAACCAAACCTGGGTCGTCTACAAAGAGCAGCCAGTGCTCTTAACTACTGAACCATCTCTCCAGCCCCTACATTTGTTTTTAAAATAATCTTGTCTTAAAATATATGTGATCCCACAACTTTTTTATCATCTTTACATTTTTAACAAAAAATTGCTTTTTTTCTAAAAGCAACTAAAATTTTAAAATCTGTTTTAAATATTTTGAATTCTAAGGAAGCCATTGTTAGTACTTGTGATTATTTGCCAAGGTATGGGACTTCATCACATTTGGGGCAAAAATGAGACCTCAAATAGCCTTGGTGTTCAGAACAAGCTCCAACCTAACTGAGGAGGTTGGCTGGGTTTACTGTAGGACCCAGTGCACTGGCCATGGATTTGTTCACCCTATCCAGATGGCTCGTTACAGGCCAATAAAAAGGAAAGTGTTCAGTTGGCTTTTCTTGCAGTTTTTTTGGGGGGGGGGTTGTTTGTTTGTTTGTTTTTTCAAGCAACTTTTTATTTCAGTGTGTTAGTCCTGGGCAACACCTGTGGTCACAGCACACTCCTGGCTATGTCCAGAACCTTGTGTCTGTTTAACTTCTTGCTGGATTTCTCTGCATTTTCTACAGAAAGATTGTAAGTAAAATAGATGGCGACAAGGACGGGTTTGTCACTGTGGATGAACTCAAAGACTGGATTAAATTTGCACAAAAGCGCTGGATTTACGAGGATGTAGAGCGACAGTGGAAGGGGCATGACCTCAATGAGGACGGCCTCGTTTCCTGGGAAGAGTATAAAAATGCCACCTACGGCTACGTCTTAGGTAGGTCCCTACTATCTGGGGGAAAAAGCCTTGTGGAGCTGGCACCTTGAAACGTAACTGTTTTGTCTTGTAGAATGATTGTAGATAAAATAGACGCGGATAAAGATGGGTTTGTGACGGAGGGGGAGCTGAAATCCTGGATTAAGCACGCCCAGAAGAAATACATATATGACAATGTTGAGAGCCAGTGGCAGGAGTTTGATATGAATCAAGACGGCTTAATCTCCTGGGATGAGTACAGAAACGTGACCTATGGCACTTACCTGGGTAAGGGGCAAGATGTCAGCCTGGCCGAGACCATGGTCTGCAGTCAAAGAAACAAATGGGTCACGCAGGACAGGAAGGGAGAGATTGTGCCTCACTTGGATAGTTTAATACTGAGCTGACTCCCCTCTGTTTATTAAATAAAATTTGTATATTGTATACTTAAAATTTTTTCTCATCTGGCATCTACATCTTTAACATTGCAATCGTATGTTACTATTTTTTTCTTTGTGTCCCTCACATTGACAGCTTTTAGAGTAGCTCTCATTTAAAAAACTGCATTGTTCCAACAGTGCAAAGCAAGAGACCTTGCCTTGAACTGTCCCTTCTAGTCCTATTCAAATTTTGGACCTGAAATTCAAACCAAATTAGATTCCTTTGTAATTGTGAGACTAGGAAGAAATTCCTGTGGATGAATGAAATAGAATTCAAATAAAATAGCTGTCAGTGTGTCCTGCTTACTGAAGTTTAAAAATGAAAATTCCCATTTGTTTTCTCTGGCACATGAGTTTATCTGCCTGCTTTGCAAATGCTTCAAGGCAAAGAAATGTTACTTTGATTGTTTTGATTGTTGATTTGGTAGCCTTTTTTATATTGGAGCTACTGGTTACTAGTTTTCTTTGACACTGTGCTACTTGCCTGCTGCTGAATTCTAGGTAGCAGTCTTACTGAGTTGATGAGCTACAGTGTTTTCATTAATAAGAGATTCTTCTATTGTCTATTGCTATCATTTGAATCACAAATATATAAATGGTACTTTTTCTGCTTTTTGTCCTGGAAATTAGGCAAATTAGGGTTAAAGGAAGCATTCCCCACCACTGACTACAGTGAGTATATAAAGGTCTCTTTCCCCACCAGATAGCCAGCTGTCCATGTTAATTACAGGACTGCATGCATTTCTGATGAAGAGGCTTATTTCTGTGTTGGGCTTGTTCTCATTCCTAAGACTGGAGTGGCAATCTCTTAGTGCTTGACATTTAGCCAAGAACCAAACATATCCACCCAATTGAGAACATGTGTATTAAAAACCCAGCACAGATGATGAAGCATTTCATGTTTCTTGCTGTCTGGCTGAGACCCAACACCCCCCTGACTTAATCAGAATTAATTATAAATATGAAGCAAAGGTTAGGCTAGGCTATTGATGATCTAAACAAAATGATGTGGTAATAAATCTCAGCTCAGACTTTAGTTACTCCCTCGCTGTCCAGAATTTTGCTTCAGCTGTGTATGATTATGTGCATAAAAATCTGTTGAGAGCTCTTACCTCACAAGGCTGATGATTCAATGTAACGGGTATTTCTACTGCCTCAGACTAAAGGCAAAGCACTGGTTGAAGAAGCAATGTCTTTATAAGGCATCTTTCCCAGGAGGTCTGTGGGTGATCAGCCGGGGCGGGAGGTGGGGGTTGCAGGAGTGACAAGTTGGCTTTAGATAAGTGCTGAGGAGTTTTTTGAGAATGTGTTCTTGGTTCAGTTTGAGTTTGGGTGTAAATCATCTCGGCTCTTAAAGTTTCTTCAGTGATTCCATTATCCACAAAAGGAAAATTTGTACTGTATTCTCTCTGCCATAAGTAAAATACAAGATACCAAGATTGGCCGTGCTTTGAGCAAACTAGATTAAGAGTCTACCTAAGGTTGTGAGCAAGGCCTACAAGGGGTGCTTAGGATACATACCACACTTAGAGTATCACACTTGCCTTTTTCTGGTCTTTATATTTGCATGTTGCTACTTGATTCTAGGCACTATATTTTACTGCAAGGATGGGGAATGAGGGTTCTTAGTTAAGAATCTAGTCTAGGACTGGAGAGATGTCTCAGTGGTTAAGGGCACTGGCTGCTCTTGCACCCATCATGTCACTCACATGGCAGCTAACAGCTGTCTGTAACTTCAGTTCAAAGAGATCCAATGCCATCTTCTGACCTCCTCAGGCACTGCATGACATAGGTGCACTTAAATACATGCAGGCAATACGCTCATACACATAAAAATAAATTTTTTGTTCTGTTTTTAGGTGGGGGTGGCTGGTCATTTTGAGACAGGGTCTCCCTGTAGCCCCAAATGGCCTGGAACTCGCTATGTAGACCAGGCTGGCCTTGAACTCACAGAAATTCACCCACCTCTACCTCCTGAGTGCTGGAACTAAAGGCATGCACCACCATGCCTGGCTAAATAAAAAAAATTTTTTTTTAAAAAAAGGAAAAGATAATCCAGTCTGAATTTGTATGTTAAATCCTGTTACCTTCTGTGTTATATAATTGGTTTTAAAACTTGGTAACTCAAGATTAGTCTGCATTTCTAGAAGCTGTTTCCATAAGTAGAGAATGAACGATGCCTGTATCTTTTGGTAGATTTCTGAGTTGAAGACAGCAGTAGGACCTTTCAAAATGGTGGTGATCTGTTGCTTAAATCTAAGTGTCCTCAAAATGAAATGGGACAGAAGACCTTTCATGTCTAGATTCTTTTTATTTTTTTTTTAATTTTTATTTAATGTGTATGAGTATATTGCTTGCATGTAGGTAGGTACACCTGTGCCATGCGTTGCCTGTAGAGGTCAGAAGAGGGCATTGGATCCCCTGGAACTGGAGTTATAGACAGTTGTTAGCCACCATGTTGGTGCTAGGAATCAAACCTGGGTCCTCAGCAAGAGCAGTCAGTGCTCTTAACTGCTGAGCCATCTCTCCAGTCCCTATATCTAGATTCTTAAGGGAAGCCTAATGTTTAATAAAAACATCAATAGCTGACAATTGTTGAATGCCAATTATACATACTAGATGTTGTTCAAGCACTTAGATTTTCTGTGAGGGACGCACATTCTCAGGGTACAGATGAGGAGACTAACACAGTTACCTTCCTCTCCCAAGGCCACATAGCTACAGGTGGTGTAATTCAAACCCAGACAGTATGACTTTAGAACCTCCATTGTCTCCCTTGTGGCAACCATTTACATTCAGCTTGGATTTGATTTGAGGGTGTGATTGCTGAAGCTTTAGCCCAAACCAACAAACAGTCTTTATATTGCTGCTTGTGAATTCAAAAATTATTTCTTTACTGCTTGGTTTAATTTTATCTGTGTATTCATTGCTTGATTTATCTTTTTCGGAAATCAGTTTCTGACTCCTAATACCTTTTTGTGTTTTCTGGAAGCCTTTAAAATTTTACTTAAATTTTTGTTTTCTAGATGATCCAGACCCTGATGATGGATTTAACTATAAACAGATGATGGTTAGAGATGAGCGGAGGTTTAAGATGGCAGACAAGGATGGGGACCTAATTGCTACAAAGGAGGAATTTACAGCTTTCCTGCACCCTGAGGAATATGACTACATGAAAGACATAGTAGTACAGGTAAGCAAGGTCTCAGATTCTGAGCAAGAGCTCAGTTTCTCTCTGTTGCTTGTATGCTCTCCCTTTAGCCTCTCCTGTATGCTTAGAACAGTAATTTGCTGTAGTAGTGTCCAGATTTAGAATTCAAGCATCATCACTGTTTTTCTTAAGAGCTTAAGCCTTTTGCTTTATCATAGTACTTTCTATCAAATAATGTATTTTGCCATTTCATGGGTAGCTTCATTAAGTAAGAATAAGAGGAAATCTTATTTTTTAAAATCCTATGATTGGTGCTCATAAACTGCATTATAACAATGATACTCAAGAATTCTCACAGAAGGGGGCTAGAGAGATGGTTCAGCAGGTAAGAGCACTGACTACTCTTGTAGAGTACTTGGGTTCAATTCCCAGCACTCACATGGTGGCTAATAACCATCTGTATTTTATCATTTTCTACCTAGAAGAATATGAGGGCATTTGGGGGAGTTTACCTTTTGTTTTGTTCACTCGAGTTTCATTATTGTGGTTGTTTGGTTGTTTGTTTGGTTTGGGGAGACTGGGTGTCACTCTGTATCCCTGGCCTGAAACTTGGTATGTAGAGCACTGACTTTCATTTTGGGGTGAACCCTGGTCCTTTGATCCTCCTGTCTCTGCCCCCAAAACCTTGGAATTACAGCTATATGCTTTCATTCCTGGTTTTGACCAAACACACCATACTGCCTCAATTCAAACAGACTAGCAATCTCTTCTTTTGTATTTAGGAAACAATGGAGGATATAGATAAGAATGCTGATGGTTTCATTGACCTGGAAGAGTATATTGGTAAGTCTCAGTATACCTGGAAGAGTATATTGGTAAACATTGAGATGTTTTAGAAGATGTAATTGTCCATAGAAATAATTTCCCTTATGGGCCAACTCTTAACAGATTATTAAGCCAGGGTGTCATTATAAGTATCTGTAACTTAGGCTAGGAGATTGGCACATCCTAATTTGAACTTGGGGACTGAAGTTTTGTTCCTAGCAAAAGGAAGCATAAAACATATTGGTAGAAACCAGGCATAGAAGTACATGTCTGAAATCCCAGCACTTGGGAGATAAAGTCAGCCTAAGAAACATGAGACATTGTTTCTTTTCTTAAAAAAAAAAGAACAAAGACTAGTGGATGGGTAAGCAACCAGGAGGGGTCACTGATCCATGTCTTTTCACTATATTCTGCCCATGTTTCCTAGCTGGTTCTCTGCTGAGTTTCCATTTTATTTGGGGGTATTTGTTTTGGACATTTTGCCTGTTGTCTCTTTATTGGGGAGAGCTACACTTTTGAAGCTGATATCTCCCAAATAAAACTTGATTGGAAGGGTATTGAAAAAAGGTTGTTTTTTTTTTTTTTAATTTGAAATTTTTATACATGTATACAATGTACCTTGATCATGCCCCCACACACATTATCTCTCTCTCTCTCTCCCTCCCTCCTCTCAAACTAGTTTTTATTATCCTGAGAATAATTTTGGAATATTCCTACATGGCTTGGGGGGGCATCTGTGCTACCAAATACTTGAGCAAACAGCTTTGTAAGTGCTGAAAGTCTTTGTTACAAGTGGAATTCTATTTTAAGTATACCAGTTTATACACACACACACACACACACATATAGATAGACATACACATACCGCACATTTTCCGTGTTTTTAGACAGTATTAAGTGTTGCTCAGGCTGAACTTCAATTCATGATTCTCCTGCCCTTCTGAATCCTAGGATTGCAGGTGTGCAACACCATGCTAAAGTTGCCCATATTATAATTGGGTTGTGTTGAAACCAGAATTCCTTATCTAGTCTAATTTTAACACCTGTTCAGATGAAGAGTTACAGATATTTTCACCCATTCTGCTGTCTCTTCCCTCGATTGTTTTCTTTGCTGTGCAGAAGCATCATCATTTAGTATGTTCATTTGTTTGCTTTTACTTTTGTTGTCCCTGTTTTGGGGTCTTAAATCAAAATGTCAGTGCCTGTAATGAATGACATCTTGAAATCCCATGTGCTTTGTTCTAGTGATTTTATAGTTTCAGGTTTTACATTTATGTCTCTGACCATTTACACTGATTTTTGTACATGGTGAGAAATAGGGATCAAATTTCAATCTTCTATATATGGATATCTAGTTTTCCCAGCACCATTGATTGAAGAAGTTCACTTTATAGAAAACCATGTGGTTGCAGGTGCATAGATTTATTTCCGGGTTCACAGTTCTATTGCATTGATAATCCACATTCTTATTTGCCCATAATAACTGTTCTTGCTGGTTTTGTTTTTCAAGTAAGTCCATGTGTTTTAGACTTTGATCTTCATCTAAAGTATCATCTTAAGCCTGAAGGGAGACTTAAGGCCTTCCTCTGTTACTTGTCATTAAACTGCATTGAGCAAAGTCACTCCTTTCTTAGATATCCTGTCATTAACTGCCAGAGACAGAGGCATGAGCAGTGATAGTTTTCTGAAAAATGATTTGGTTTCTTAGTGGTGGGCCTCAGGATAAAGTATCTCACTGTTTTCTGGGTCCAAATTGACATTAGATTTTTCTACTATAAGTATTTCAAGTATCTAAGTATCTTGGGTTTTGGCATTTTGTTGCCACAGGGAATCAGTATTAAGAAATTAAGGCTTATCACTGTTAAGAAACATCATTTGCCAAGCATTGAGGCCATACAAGGAAGTATTTGTCTCCCTCTGCATCATACAACTTCAAAGGCAGAAGAATTACATTTTAAAACTACCAAAACAGGAGGTGTGGTGGCACACACCTTTAATCCCAGCCCTTGGGAGGCAGAGGCAGGCGGTTCTCTGTAAGTCCAGGCCAGCCTGGTCTACATAGTGAGTTCCAGGCCAGCTGGGGCTACAGGGAGACCCTGTCTCAAAAAGATCAAAAAAAAAAAAACTACCAAAACAGTCAAGAATATGTGTGTGTTGCTTGCTACTGCAAGCGCTTGTACAGCTGATATATGCTGGGGTTTTTTTTAATATTTTATTTATTATTTTTATTTTATGTGTATGAGTGTGTTGCCTGCATATATGTAAGTGTCTGCAGAGGTCAGAAGAGGATGTTGGTATTAGGGTTCGAGACTCAAGAATAATTCCCACAGATACCCAAAAAATTATACAAAAAGTTTATTCAAGAATTTAAAGTAAAAATAAAAAACAACCACCAAATGGCGGCTAGCTGGGCACAGACTACACGAACCAAAGATGGAGTCTGGCCCCGAACAATAGCAGGCAGGGGCTTTTATTGGCGAACTCCACAGAAAACCATGCATGCCAAGCATCCTTTTAAAATAATTGGATGTCCCCATATCTTGTATACAGGGGAAGTCTTGATTGGTAGGGGCTGTCTTAGGGCATTGGAATGTGCTGACTGATATCTTTTAGGGCCAGAAGTTTTTGTTCATACCTTATAAGGCTTTTGCATGTCCAGGGCTTGCTTAATTTATAGCTTCGGGTGGGGGGTCACAACTGGAAAAAATTTACAATATGTCTGAGCTTGTCTAGCCAAAATGGAGTCAGACCATTCTGACTCTTCATTTCCCCCTAGAGTTATGGCAATGGTTAAATCTTTAAGCCAGGCAAATTACAGAAGCAGAAAGAAGCGGTTAGATGGCGCATTTAGGGTGGTGGAACCATTTCTATATTATCAGGGTCTCGATTTAAATGAGTATGCTGTGAACACAGTACCATCAGTTGGACTGTCTGTATCCGTTCTTGGATGAATTTGAGCAAGGCATTAAGAATAAAGGGGCCACAGGTGACTGCTAGTAGGAGTAAGAGGAGAGGTCTGACTATCCCTGAGATCAAAGTTGTTAACCATGGGGACCAGTCAAATAGGGAATCTTACCAATTTTGTTGATTTAGTCATTTGTTTTCTCTTAAGTCTTTTAAGGACCTCAGCCAAAGACTGTTTTATAACTCCCAAATGATTAACATAGAAACAGCACTGTTCCCCTAGGGCAACACAGAGTTCTCCTTTCTCTAGAAAAAGTAAATTCAGCCCTCTATTTTGTAAGGTTACCTCAGCTAAAGAGGATAGAGATTCTTTGAGGTGGCGGATAGATGTTTTTAATGATTGTATGTTTAAGTCTATGGCCTGTCTAAGAAGGTGATAATTTTTATCCTGGAGGACTAGCGCTGAAGCCCCCAGACCAGTTGCAGTGGTTACTCTGACCCCGAGTAAAGTCGACAGGACAATTGCAGTGGTTCCTATGGCCCTACAAGGTCTAGACTCTTCTGAGATTCTGGTTTCCATTTCTGCATCTGTTCTATAATATAGATGGGGAACCAGCTGCATCAGTTCACAAAAATCCCCAGTCTGGTTTAAAATAGATGAGTGGAGTAATGTAGTTAGGCCAGAGGTACAGGCCCACCAAGTGGAGTTGGGAAGCACCATATATGGGTTAGGTGTAGTAGAATGAGTGGAGGCATGTAGTTAGGCCAGAGGTACAGCCCCACCAAGTGGAGTTGGGAGGCACCATATATGGGTTAGGTGTAGTAGCCCCTAGAACAAAGTTACATAAATGTTGATAAGAAGAGGGGACAGTTTTATGTGAGGGAGTCATGCATAGCCCTTTTCCATACACTTGGGTAAGGGTACGCTCCCTTCTCCCTGTAGGCGGGGGAATTCTACGGGCAATGGGGTCAGAAGTGACAACATAATTTCCTGGGAGAGCTAACCCATCATAAAAGGGAGGGCTCGGGTCCATGCAAAACCAGCAATGGATAGTAAGGTTAGGGGAGGTATTATTTAAAGCAATAAAGGTGACATTTAGGAGGTTTGTAAGCCCAGGGGATGGCTGCAAGGGCTCTTGGGCACGTTGGACCTCTGGGGGTGTGGATCTAGGTGTGGGCAAAGTAGCGGTTTTTTCCAGTTGGACAGTTTGGCTAGGAGCTGGCCTCTCAACAGATTTAAAAATAGTTAAGGCCAGTGTTGGTCGTCCTATAGGAGGTAACACTATCCGAGCCGGCCCCATCTGGGTCCCCAAGACTGGACCCACCTGAAGACAGACTGAAAAAAGTATTCCTGGATCAGTCCCTGTGGTGTATAACCTTTGGCCCCAAGTTCACAAATCAGTCCATTTTTGTAGGTTTTTAAGTTGCTTTCCTTTCGGGGTGAAGCTTAAGGAGATAGGGTTGCATCTAGAGGAGGTACAGGGTTCCTCGAATTGCCTTGATCTGAGGTTTCGCCAAAGGGTTAGGCCGGGACCTCAGTTACCTGGATCAAGTCGGTAGTGACTTGGGCAGCCCAATTAATATATCCAGTAGACACACAGCTCCATGAAGCACAGAAATAGTCCCGTGGCCCCCCACAGATACTTCGTCAGTTACCATTGTCACCTGGGCAAACATAGAAGCAGTGCTCCTTCATCCTCTTTCGGCCAAGGGGAGACTGGCAAGCATAATTTACAGTGCCTGACGGGGTGTATGATTCCCAAGCTCCTTCAAGCAGGTCACAGGGGTCGAATGTAATCTTGGGGAACCAGGCGCCTGGAGGTCCCAGGTGGGAGGAGATGTTCACTATCTTTCCAGTGGATGTGCTACTAACTACCCAGGTGAGGTTTTTGGAGTCCATGGGGTGAGTTAGCTAGGGCAGGCTCTATAAAAAAGCAACAAAGGTTATGGTGTGGCAGAGATTTTTAGCTTGAGAGGATTGTCTTTCACCCGTGTGACCTTCCATCTCTTGTCGACTTGGTGTGACCAATCCTCTGATGCAGGCTTTAGATGCGAGTGATGTATCCATGTCGGGACACCGGACACCTTAACCGCAGCAGTGGTGGTTGAGGATC